GATTCCACAATTTATGTCCCAAATGATTTCTTAGGCATCTGTCAAACCACTATAACCTTTTGATTTAGTAAATACGACATATTTATTATTTTTCTTGTCTTTTGCAGGGAGAGTATGGAGGAGACGGACGAAAGGTAAGACCCAGTCTTTGAATGTGGCCCATGATTCAAGCTCTGGTTTTGTACTGAAATCTATTTCTAATGCTCTGGTTTCTTTAATTTCAGGGGTCTGGCGGCCTTTCAGGAAGGAACGGCACTGATGGACAAAAGGTAACATTACTCAGTACAATGAGCATTTTGATTAAACTGTAAATACTAAGATTAATTTTTAACAGTCATTCCCTTTATAATTCATATTTATAATAAGTATCTCTTGAATCTCTTTCTCCCAATCATTGTCATTTCAGCATATTTGGAGTACACACAGATATAGAACCAGAGTAGGGCAATGTTTTGTGTAGTGGCTCTCCACAGACATACAATGCGAGCTGGAATCAGTTCTGACTCACACTGTGGTCCAACAGGGACATCTTGAGCCGCCTTGGCAGCAAGATGTGAGTCCCTATTGCCCAGCTTCACCAAAGCCAATTCAGCACAACAGGACAGGACCCCGACTGCCACCCCTCTTCCATCCCACCACTGCCAGCTACAGTGGTACAAAAAGACCTACCTGCTTCTCATCCATTGCCCCTCCTCAGTCTTTCACCCTCTTTGCCAGTCACATGGCATGGGATTAGGAAGAGCTAGGGACTAGTAGCAGGTAGGTCCTGTTGTAACTGCTGTGGGTGGGTGGGAGAGGGGTGGAGGAGACAGTCATCCTGTGTCCCGGGGAAGCATGAGATGCCTATCAAGACATCCACCATCAGTTCTGCATAAGAAGTGGGTGCTTGCAATCCCAGGGTGCATGAGAAAGGCCAAATCCTTGTTTGTTTTTAGGCTGTGTTGAGGAACTTTCCCTGAGTTAAAACAGATCATCATCATCATCATCATCATTATCATCATCATCATTTAATAACTTATTAATCGCCCTCCATCCGATAATGCTCTAGGCGATTTACAGCTAAATTATAAAAGATAAAATACATACATACAAAAATTAAAAATTAACAGAGATCAAATGCTCTAGTAAAAAGCCAGGTCTTAAGTGCGAGAGTAAAAGGCCCTAAGTCACGCATGGCTCTCATGTAGGGCGGCAAGGAATTCCACAAGGCAGGGGCAGAAATAGAAAAAGCCCTGCGTCTGGTCCTTTCCAAGTGCACTTCTCTAGGACCCGGTATATGGAGTAAGTCACGTTGGGCTGGTCGTTGCGACCTCCGATGATGGGAGAAGGAGAGGCGGTCCCTAAGGTACGATGGACCCTGGCCGTAAAGAGTTTTAAAGGTCAGAACTAGCATCTTATACAGGCCACGGTACTCAGTTGGAAGCCAATGTAAATGTTGCAGCACTGGTGTTATATGGCATTTCATGGGCGTTCTTGTGAGTAACCTGGCTGCCGCATTCTGAACAATACGAAGCTTTCGGGTCGTAGACATCGGAAGGCCAACATACAGGGCGTTGCAATAGTCCAGCCTAGATGTGACCGTGGCATGAATGACAGTTGCCAGAGCCTCGTCAGATAGGTAGGGTGCCAGTTGCCTCGCTTGTCGTAGATGGGAAAAGGCCTGTTTGCTGGCAGCAGTAACCTGAGCTTCCATTGTCAGCTGTGAATCCAGGATGACACCTAAGCTCTTAACAGTGGGCGATGGAGATAGGGCGGCACCATCAAAGGTGGGTAATGGAGGAGTCAGACCTGCCGGGCGGCCATGCCAGAGAATCTCAGTCTTCGCCGGGTTCACCTTCAGTCTGCTAGCACGTAGCCAGTTTGACAGAGCTTCCAGACATAGGGTGAAATTGTCTGGAATTGACGTTGCTCCAGGCTCCAGGCACAGAAGGAGTTGGGTATCGTCTGCATATTGGTAGCAGTCCAGGCCGAAACTCCGAGCCAAACTAGCAAGGGGTCTAATGTAGATGTTGAAGAGAAGAGGAGAGAGAATTGCACCTTGGGGGACCCCACATAGGAGGGGGGATCTATCGGAGACTTGATCCATGTACTCCACGCGTTGACTCCGGTTCCGGAGAAATGAGTTGAACCAATTGAGGGCCTGACCACGAACTCCAGACATGGCAAGTCGGTGAATCATTAGATCATAGTCGACGGTGTCAAACGCTGCGGTAAGGTCGAGAAGTACCAGATCAGCTTGCATCTGTTGTGTAGGCTGATCCCATGATCACACTAACCTAAAAGGAGTCTAGGACTTGGAAAAGCTAGAATTCAAATCCCCACTTAGTCATGGAAATCAATTTGATGATCTTGAGGAAGTCACGTGCTTCAACCAATGCCCTCTGAATAAATCTTTCCAAGAAAAACCCAGAATAGTATTAGTTAAAAGAGAAGTAGAAGGCACATAAGAGATGAAGAATATTTGAGGTGTGCTGACTGTTATTTGCCAAGTCTGGCTCACTCAAGAATTAAAAGGCAGCATTGTGTCCCATGGTGCTCTAACAAGAAAAGTTCTAGTCATGTCTCGGGAAATGGTACTTATTGTTACTCAGGGACCTTCTACGCTGGCCAAAATGTGAGTGGAATGGGCATTTAAACACACATTTCTCAGCCTCACTGGGGGCTGAAACTCCACCTTTTTGACAATCGACACAGATGGGGACCTATACCTTCTCGCCCTGACCCTCTAGCTCTTAAAAAGAGAGGAAAATTCTCTGCACAAAGATACTAGGCTTGTCTTACCTTCGTGGTCCTTGAAAATGAGACTAAAGAGCTTTAGTTTCATTTCCCTCCTCCCTTCCCTTCTTGAAAGCTCCCTAGTTTCATTTTCAAGCCCCAGAAAGGTAAGGCAACCTCAGTGCACCATACAGATGTTTTGTTTCTATTTTCATTGGCTAAACAGGAGACAGGGAAGGCACTGCCCTCCCTCCTCCCCAGGCAGCCTTAGCTTGAGGAAGAAGGATAGCTGTGGGGATGCTATCTAGGATCGCAAATGGCAATCCCAGGAGACAGCCCCCACTTCCTCCATACTTGCACTCTTCCACTAAGATCCAGACCTTTGCAGGTATTTTCAGGAGTTTCTTCTGCCACATTCTGTGGTTGTGTAGATGTGTGAATCATATCTATCTATCTATACCTATGGCTGGGTGGCTCTTTATCAGGAGGCCTTTGGTTATGTTTTCTTGCCCTGGTGAAGGGTTGGACTGGGTGGCCTTAAGGCACCATTTCTCAACCTGCGGAGGTCATAAAGGGGTGTTAGAGGGGTCGCCAAAGACCATCAGAAAACACAGTATTTTTTGTTGGTCATGGGGCTTCTGTGTGGAAAGTTTGGCCTAATTCTAACATTGGTGGGGTTTAGAATGCTCTTTGATTGTAGGTGAACTATAAATCCCAGCAACTATAACTCCCAAATGTCAAGGTCTATTCCCCCCAAACTCCATCTGTGTTTGTATTTGGGCATATGGAGTATTCATGGCAAGTTTGGTCCAGATCCATTATTGTTTGAGTTCACAGTGATCTCTGGATATAGGTGAACGACAACTCCAAAACCAAAGGACACTCCCAAATGACAAAATCATTTTTTTAGTGAAGGACATACATTGGGTTGTTAGGTGTCTTGTGTCCAAATTTGGTGTCAATTTGTTCAGTGGTTTTTTAGTTTTGTTAATCCCACAAATGAACATTACATTTTTATTTATATAGATGATTCCCTCAGTTTGATAAACTAACCTGGATTCAGTGTGTTTATTAAAATCAGGTAAATCACTAGATAGGGATTGGAATTTTGGTGAATAATGTTTATAATCTCCTCCAATTTTATTTGTGATCTTTCCAGGGCAGACTGGGACGTATTGGACCTCCTGGCTGCAAAGGAGACCCAGGCGACAGGGTAAGAATATGTTCAGGTCTATCAGAGCCAGGCATCAGGGAACAAAGGCAAATGTGTTTATTTTTAATGGTTTGTTCATTCTTTTACCTGGTTCTGTTGCTATATTTTCTGAAAGATAAGCCTCATAGTCAGGTTTATAAACAGTTCTTTTTGGGATTTCTTTTCAGGGTCTTGATGGTTATCCTGGAAGTGCTGGAGATCAAGGGCCACCTGGAGATGAAGGGATAAAGGTCTGTGCCATTCTTTAAGATGACCAAAAAGGAAGGCTCCAACTTGTCAGGGAGAGTAAGCTAAAGCTGTTGAGAGAGAGGCATGAGATTAGTTTAGCTCATGAATGTGAAGGGTGTATCCAATAAACAGCCACTATCATAATGGCATTATATAAAACTGCTTTGTGAATATTGGAAACAGTTCTGATCACCTGTACTCATAGCACTCATGTATGTCATAGCAGTACTAGGAAAGTGCATCTAAAATGACTCAGATTTTATATAGGAAAGGCAAAAAGATCTTTTATCCAGTTATGCCACTGAGTTATAAAAAAAATGTACATTTTCAACACAAATGGTATCTAATATAGTTCTGCTAGCATAACATGATGGTCCAACCGCTGTACTGCCAATTAACTTGCAAAAACTCTTGTTCAGGTGTTTTGTACGATGGCTTTTGCAAAGATATATTCCATTGCAACGGCTTAAATGGGGATTTTCAATTTACTACTCTTAAAATGGATTTAGATTAGTGCACCTAGGACTTTCTGGTTTAGAAAAATTATAATAAACATGTGGCAGAGAAAACAGGTGGGTCAGAAGCTACTATCCTTGTGAGCTAAATAAAGGCTTGCAAATATCAATGAAAGACCCTAAATGTGAACGAGAGAGCTTCTTAGAGGCAAATAGTGGGAAGTAGAATATCCCACATGGACTCGTGGACCACCTCATCTGATCCAGAGTTGCTGCTCTTTCTGAGCCCAAAGTCCCATCTCTATTTGATAAGCCATTCAAAACCATGTAGCCATTTCTCTGCTCAGCACATCTTATAGCCACTTGAAATTGGATTCCGGAAATGCCAATTGTGAATTGGAAATACAGTTTTCTGAAGGAAGGCAGCAATATAAATGTTCCCAGCTGTGGCTGTCATGCTGCGGAAATGACCTTAACTGGTATATAAACAGTTAACATAAAACAAAAGTGGAGTGCTAAGTATCAAATAGCAAACCACTCAACCTCGATACAGAATACACTCTCTAATTTATATTAGAATTCTGAATAGTCCTGCCGGGGTTGTTGAATTGAGTCCATTTGGTAAGCGCTGGTATACAAGGCCACTTATGGGCTGCTGGAGTGACTTTTTTGACTGTGGTTTCTTGTTTGTATTTCAGGGTGATGCTGGACGACCTGGTCGCAATGGACAACCTGGGCCACCTGGAGAAAAAGGAAATAGGGTAAGTTATAACCCAACACACACACACACACCAATAAGTTTAGAAAAGATGTGAAACTTCTCGAGCCTCTGGAAATTCAAGCCGTTGCATGGCTGTTAGCATAATCTTGAAATCATGAGAGGAGGACACTGGCAGGGGGATATTTAAAAGTATAAATAAAATGATCTGATTATGTCCTAGTAATAACCTAGAGTGTTTGAGTCTCCTTCTCTGGAGGTTTTTGAGCAAGGACTGGATGACCATCTGTTGGGAGTGCTTTGATTGTGTTTTCCTGCATTGAAGAAACGGCTTGGCCTGGATGGCTCGTGTGGTCACTTTCCACTCCCATTCTTGGTATAAATATTGGACACTGGAGCCTAATATTAGTAATATTTCTTCCTTCCCTTTGGAGTTTTCCAGGGAAGCATATCTTCCAATTTAGTAACACAAACCCAATTACTCAATCTAGAAGAAGAAAAATAATCAAAGCAGAGAAATATCCCAAAATGTAGTCTATCATTCTGTTTTCACAAAACCCAAGGGCCATTTCACTGGCAACATGCCCCTTTTCCTGCCATATATTCAAATACTATATTCAGACAGGCCTGTTGTGCTGTTGAGCTGATTGTTGTCTGCTGACAATGGGTCAGTTAGCCGTAGGTTTTTCATCTGATTTTGTTTTTGAGATATATAGAGTGAGAAACAGAGCTGCTATTAGTGAAGAAAGGGGACAATGAGCTGCCTTGAGTATTCTGAGTTTTTTGGGGTTTTTTGTCAAATCAAATCAAAACATTTATTTCGGTCATTGACCAGCACAGGAAATAGTGTCACATTTCCATTTCGTGTCAGGAGCAACCGCTCCTGTTGTGAGAGAATTGGCCGTCTGCAAGGACGTTGCCCAGGGGACGCCCGGATGATTTTTGATGTTTTATCATCCTTGTGGGAGGCTTCTCTCATGTCCCCGCATGAGGAGCTGGAGCTGATAGAGGGAGCTCATCTGCCTCTCCCCGGATTCGAACCTGCGACCTGTCGGTCTTCAGTCCTGCTGGCACAGTGCTTTAACCCACTGCGCCACCGGGGGCTCCTGGTATTCTGAGTGAAAAGTTGGGACAGGAACTCTGTTTATATAGATACAGCACAAGATCTCAGCAAAATGTTTTCTCAGTGGCCATTTTGAACAGTTAGAAATTAAAACTAAAAGCTCGGCAACAAGATATGACCAAGTAGAGTTTGTTCACTGATTATTTTTATTGTTGGCTAGCTGATGAAAGTGAGGAGTCCCACTCTTGGGAAGAAGGCTGAAACAGGGAGGAAGGATAGAGCCCTGCCGAAATCCAAGAGCCAGTATTTGGGGAAGTCACCCTAGTTGTTTGTAAGCCCGGAACAGTGTCTTCTGTTGTCAACCACCTCCAATGAATTCTAATTTCTTCTTCCTTCTACTTTCCAAAGGGACCCAAAGGCATGAATGGAGCATTTGGCAGTCCTGGTGTCAAGGGGGCTAGAGGAAGCCCTGGATCTCCTGGACCCAAAGGAGAACCTGTAAGATTTTAAATGTTTTCTGTAACAACCCCCACCTACCCCACTCCCATCTTTCATCCTTTCATCCCAAAAGGAAGATGGCAAGGTAGGCTTTAGAGTAAGGCCTGAATATACAAAGCTGAACTTAGAAACACAGGAACTAAATGTCAACACAAAACCTAAGACTTTCATCCTCATCATCATCCACTTCATCATCATC